TAAATAGTACTCCGTAGCAATTAGCATAGCATCAACCATTGATGGACCAATGGGGAAAGATGAGATAAAAGGTGGATTTTCTTAGTATCATTTAAATATTGGATTATTTTGTGAAGACTAATGAAAACTAAGGCATTGGAATCATTTTATCCTCCCCAAAAAATAAAGAAATTGTTATACATTAAAAAAACGAATAAACGATATTTTCAAGACAATTTTCTTTTTGAACAATATATTCAAGACAATTGTTACATTAGATAACCAAGAGATTTTTTAGGATGTGTTCATACAATATTCTTAACGAATTCAGCTTCTCTGCCTTGCTTTGGCAGGCAAAGAGGGTGTCTTCCCATTTTGAGCCATCAGATAAAAAAATCAATGACATAAGATGAGTGGGTCCATTTTTGGCACAAACCTCGAGACATGAAATATAATCTCTGCCCTCTATTTAGGTAAGGTACTCTGCCATAAAGCAGAAGATCTCAATTCATTCTTAACTCATTGAGCTGAAAAGTATCAATATAGACCCAAAAGTTGACTGAAAAAATAACAATGAGCTCATTTTTAAACGTTATTAATTTCAACATTTGAGTTGAACTTTTTAATTTATAGTGACTATATATTCAAATTACCCTTCTATTACTAAAAATTTAGCTTGTTTTTATCAAAATATATGCTCTTATGCCTCAATGTTATTATTTGAGATTTGTAATCAAACAAGTCTAATTAGAAAATTGTAACTCTATAACTTTGATATAGTTTTATGCAAGTCTTATAGTCCGTTATTCCGAATATACTCCCAATCATTTCCAAAGAAGAAACAAAAGTTTAGGACCATTTCCTCCAATCTTTTTCCATTGTGCAGTCCAGTCCAGGCGGGCCTAAATTGAAAAACAAGTCCGTATAAAAAAACGTAGCACAACTAGGGCTGTTAACGAACCGAACTTTTATCGAACTATTCGAGTTCGAGCTCGGTTTCGAACCTAACGAACCGAGCTTAACGAGCTTTCGAACTCGAACCCGAGCTAAGTTTTAAGTTCGAAATATTAATCGAGCCGAGCTCGAACATAGTAGTATTAGGCTCGGTTCGAACTCGAGCCTATCGAACACCCTGAAATTATAAATATAATTTATATATAATAAAAATTTAAATATAATTAGTATGATTTTAAGCATTTAAATATGTTTATTAACGAACCGAATATTTGTCGAATCATTCGAGCACGAGCCTATTAACGAGCATCACCTAAAATTTTAAAATCAACCATATTTATCGAGCTTAACGAGCGCCCGGTTCGAACATCGAACGCCTATCGAGCCGAACACGAGCCTCAAATGTAAAGCTCGCCGAGCTTCGAGCTCGAACCCGAACACCATTAATTCCTTATCGAGCCGAACTCGAGCTTTAGGTGTTCGGGCTCGGCTCGGCTCGTTAACACCCCTAAGCACAACCAACTAAAAGCAAGACAGGGAGTCCTCGTGACACTTTTAGCTAAAATGAAGGATGAGGGAGGATTAAAAGTTAAGCCATCATAATATTTCAAACAATTATTCAATACAAAAGCATGAACAAGTGATAAGTGGAAGTGATTCAAGTGAACCACCTCGCACACTTAAGACGTGAATTTGGAAGGATTTTATGAAATGACGACGTTCTTCTAGTTGCTTTAACAATGTGAGAGCCATGTTAGGTACTAAAGACACAATCAATCAGGTACGAGCAATTCTGGTGACCGGTGTTGTATATGTGTTAAAATATTTGTCTCACACTGGAAAACTATAAAACAATAAGATATTATATAATGTTTTGTGTTACTCCTATCATGTTGACATCATAGGATGAACCCCCTAAGTCTTAATAGTACTAGTATGTGACAATGGACACCTAGTGTTTGGTGGGTTCTTGGGAATCATGAAGTAATCAAACGAAGTCAGAATCACCTGATACTAAAAAAAGTAAAATAAACACACAAATTCACCTATGTGCTTCTTTGGTGGTCAGGTTTTGGTTTAGCAACTTCTTTTTAGCTGTCCTTTTCCATTTTGAATTGTCCAGAAATAGGTATTACATTTTATTTGGGGAAAAGAAATATGTTATCTACAACATTCAAATCTCAAACACAACTTTTACATTTTCAATCATTTTATTAGTAATTATGTCAAACTAAGAAAGAACACAAAAAATGGGAGGGAGGTTGTACATTATAGTTTTTTTTTTCAAACATTTTTTCTCTATTTAATTTATAAAATATTTTAAATATGATTATTTTACAATTTAACATATTTAGTCATTTGAAACACGTACAACTTTACTACATTCAGAAGATTGCGCCAATCTTATTGTTTCAATTTGGGCTCATATTTGAACTATTTCATTCTAAGCTATATTTAAATACCTAAGTCGATAAAACCAACCTGAATGACTTCGAAACTAGTTGATTGGGAATCACGACCAACCCGGTTAACTTATCTAAGCTCGCAACAGAAACACTTGTTTTGGCAGTTGGTGGGAGCGGCTCACAATGAGCATCCTCCTCCCACTGCAGGCTTTTCTTTTTAAATTTTAACAACATGTTGATGTAATTACTACTATAGTCGTATATAAAGGAATATAACTTATATCGAAAAAATGTAACTTGAGTCAAGTTGAAATGTAAGTTATCTAAAAATAGAGTATAAGAAGTAAAACATTGATTTCAATGTAAATAATTAAAAAAGGAGTCTAATTGTCCAATTTTTTACATAAATAGTGTATATGTTTTGTTTTTAATATCAAGGCTATATATATGTTTTTTTTATTTGTTTTTGAATAGCAGGGACTTGTTTTGTTATATAACTCGCATTACGTTATGGTGTAACTCACATTATAGGAAATGTAAATCACATGTATGTGAGATGTAACTTGTTGAGAAAATTTGACATGTAACTCATGCTTATAGATATGTAACTTTAGACAAATTCTGATGTAACTTGAGTGTGCGCAAAATGTAAATTGAGGAAGGTCTAAAATAATTCACAGCAGTCATCTTCAACAGATAACGAAGGTGAGTCTTCTTCATTAGAATATATACTTTTATATTCAAAAAATTAGTACTATGATACATAGATATTAAAACAAACAATTAGCTTTAAGTCTTTAAATTTGCCCACACATACGCAGTCCAGATCCAAATTACGGCATGGTCTGCAATATTCGGAAACAAGGCTTAGCCGCATATCGCTGACGTTTTACTTCAGTCCGGAAGGGATGGCGTGAAGATACTCACAGCGGCCACACCAGCAATCGACCTAATCGCTACATCTGTGCAACTAATTTAAGGGAAGACAATTGCACCAAAGGCTGTGAGGCGATGGCGGAAGGAGTGCAGAGGAGTTCCATGGGGAGATGAAACGCGAAGGAGATGAAACGGCGGAAAAAGCGCAATTATCTTCAAGAATTCATTTGAATGCTTTCCCGATTGAAGTTTTAGCTGAAATTTGGTATGAGTAAACTAGACTTAATGAATAAGATGCTCAAAAAATTCCACCGGGAACCGTCTCAAATGGCGACGGCCGGACAATAAGGACTTATTTGACCCTTTTTATGCAACTTCTAGTACCAATCTGACTATAATTTTTGTTATTTATGGTTTTATTATTTAATTTCCTGTTGTTCCAAAAAAAATGGTCATTACAGCATAAACAGGTCCATAAAATAGTGCACTACTAATAAATCGAGAACACATATACAAGCATATATTATTATTATTATTTTCCAATTATACAAGTAGATGTTTTCCTTTTTATATTAAATCTATATGCTAGTAACATTTACAGCCTCATTTATGCCAGTAGGACTTGTTTGGTGCTGTCTGAATTGCTGAGCTGTGATGGATCTATGTTACAAGGAAGTGTCTCATTCTAAGAATAAAAAACAGCAATCCCCCATCTTTTCTTTCCAGTTCATATGACCAAAAAGTTGGCCAAAAGGAACATACAGCCATTACAAAGAAAAGACCGTGAAATGATTTGAGCAACAGCCAACCAATTTTTCTTTTTGTTTTATTTTATTATTATTCGTCGTCTAATTATTTAAAACAAAATATAATCACCCCTCAATAATATAATTGGGTTCGTGAAGTAAAATCCAAATTCCCCCCATACCTAGAATCAATCTTTTTACCAAGAATCAGTTTAAGAAACTGAAGAAGACTATGGGCGCATAAGATCTTTTTTTTTTCTTGTTTTAAAAACATGAAATGTATTCACATTTAATGATTTAAACCCATTAATTAACTTTGTAGCATGGGTCAAAGACAAAAGACCTTTCTTGCTGAGCTGTTGTTTGGGGAGAAATCGTGAATGTATTATAATTTGTCATTTTTTTCACCTGATTGATACTCTTTCCATTGCATGGAGTTGTGTGTACCAAATTCTCACTTCACATCTTTTTGTGTTTCATGCTCCACATCCACCTATCTTCTCCCACTAGGAATCTTAAAGTACTAGCAGCAGGAACATCTTAAATACAGACCAGCTAGTACAAAAGAAGGAAAAATTAAAGTTAAAAAAACACCAGAGAAATGACATCAGCATAAGAGTTTGATTTCTTCTTCTTTGTTTGGAAAGTAAGAAAGATTCTTCTTCTTCTTCCATAAAAGAAAAGAGTGAGAGAGATTTTTTTTCAAGAACTGGGATTCCCAGAGTTACCTTGTTGATCTTGATGACAGAATTCCTTGAGTGAAAACTATTGTTGTAGAAAGACAAAATGAGACCAGAAAGTAAATTTTTTAGGAGGTTTTTGGGATCTTTAAAGTTGTAGAGCTTGAAAACATGCCACCACACAGTATACAACACACCATGCCACTTGGCCTTTGGCTTTTTTGAATAATTGCAGCTCATCAAGTACTTTCACTTCTTGAGGGCTACCTAGAGCTAAATATTCCCAAATCCAAACATTCAAAACTTTCTGATACATATATATCAATAGGTTCCCCATTCTTTTAGATTATCTAATTCATCAATGCTCAACCCATCCATTAGAAGGTCAAGAAACATAAGATTTCTCTGATGGCAATTCCAATTGCAGCAGTAGCTGGAGGTATTGGAGGGGCATTACTACTACTGGGAGTTATACTAATTTATTATTTCCTTATGCATCACTATAAGAACTCTTCAAACAGGAACTCAGACAGTGCTTCATCAGATCCCCCTGCTGTTGGTATGTTTTCTTCCCCTCAAACTATGACTTCTGATACTCTTTCTGTCCCTTAAAAAAGTTCTCAACTTGGCATTCCAAGAACTCAAAGTGATAAGCTTTCTTCATACCATCTAACACTTAGAGATGTACCAAAATTGAATCAAAGAACTTTAAACAGGGACTGAAGAAATATTAGAGAAAAAAATCCCATTTTTACTGTGAGTTTTGCTAATGTTTCCTGCCTAAATCTCAAAGTATTGTGCAGTGGAGCCAAGAAGGGAAGGAGGGGAGAGCAGTTCAGAAGCAAAGGCAAGGGTGTTTAGGCTGAGAGAACTGGAGCATGCCACCAAGCATTTTGATGACTCTCATCTCATTGGCTATGGAAGCTTTGGTATGGTTTTCAAAGGCCTGCTTTATGATGGAACCATCGTCGCTATCAAAAGGCGCTTGGCCGCTCCCCGGCAACAATTCACTGAAGAGGTGCACAATTAATTACCAATACGCTTTTCCATTTTATAATCTCATACCCACTTTTGATGTGTTCATATATGGAGTATAGAATAGTTTAGTCGTATCTACTGTTGATATGTTCCATTTTATCACTTAGAAAACCTTTTATTCTAAATAACTCGTACTTTAAATAGCTTCAAGTGTATATTTGACGGTTGCTTTTCCATTGTTTTTAACGAAAGTGGTTATTATACCTTTGAAATATCTCGAGTGAAATGCTCAAAGGGTACTCAATTATTGGTGTTCTTCCTTTTGGTACTTTGACTTTTAATGAACTAACTCATTACCATAATAATATAAATAGTAAATTAATAGTATCAATTTTCTGGCAAAAATATCACACGTGACGGTCGGAATTTTATACGTAAAGTTCACTTTACATCATTTTGTCTGTGTCATTACTGTAGGATACTCTATGGATGGAATTTTAGTTGTCACGTGGGTCTTTTGGTAAATAATTTGAATAGTATTACGAGTTGAAACATTTATGTTGATTTATGATACTGATTTATTTCATTTAAGAATTAAAGTAACGAAATATAAGAATACTAATAATTAAGGTATCGTTTATACATTTTCCATAATACTTAAAGTTGGAGTGAAAATTTAAGCTCTACTTTAATGATTAGGATTTTGGGCCTCTACCTGGCGCCAAAACCAGGTAGGACACTCGATACCCGCACAGGTAGCTTAGTTGATTGAGTGTTGGGAAAATTGGAGAGATGACCAAGATTCGAAACTCGCAGAGACCGTGTGGAGGTTACAGCTCCTGCGTGATGGGCTGATGGGTTGAACCTTTGGTGCGCACAAATTTAAGATCTATCATCATTGGGTTGACTAAGTCACCATGATTACATCCTTCATATGCCTTGTCGGGTCGGGGCGTGGGGGCCCTTGGGATTGGTGATTCAACCTTTTGGAGGGCAGTGCCTTCTTAATAACTATGGATGTTTTTGCTTGGATTGGTTTCTGTCTCAAATCGAATCAAATCATATTAGACTTAAACATATCAGATTAGACTTTAGCATATCAGACCAGACTTAAACAAATCAGATTATGTCAATCTTGACCGTTGCAAAGTAGGCATTGACTAGACATCTACAAATTAGTTCACCAAACTATAAAATTTCAAAGTATACCCGTCCTAAGCATTGAACTACTACCATTTTCATATTAGATAGAACTTTGAAGATTTATCCCGAACGAAGCATCACTCATTATTCACATGCATAATACTTGGGCATTGCACATAAAAGTTTTCAAACAGGAACTCAAACAGAAACATAGGTTGAATACTATGGTTTGTCAAAGTTTAGGAGATAAAGTAAGTATGCATGTGACTTTTGTGGCAGCAGGTGGTTCACATGTCAATGGTGCACCATAGGAACTTGGTGAGGCTTCTTGGATACTGTCAAGAGAGTGGCTACCAAATGCTAGTCTTTGAGTACTTGCCCAATGGCAGCATGCGCAAACACTTGTATGGTAATATTTAATTTGAACTATGAAGTGTTTGGGTGTAATTATTATTTACTCCGAAATATTTGGCATTTTGGTAATTTAATTTAATTTAATTATTCTTGGAAGAGACGGGAATGGATTCACACTCGACGAAGCTAGAATTCAAGCAAAGGCTTTCGATTGCTAGTGGAGCGTCAAAAGGTATTACTTATTACCACTCATTGCGTCAAAAGGTATTACTTATTACCACTCATTCAATTTAGTTTAATTTAATAGCGCCTTTGATAGAACGTAAAATAATTACGAAGTGAAGGGACACAAAGGGTTTATAACGTTTGGTTGGTTATTTAATGTAAACTGTAAGACAATTTTTAAAAATATTTTACACTGTACTATGTAAAATATTTTGCGTGAGGTGGTGGTAAAATACTTTGCATGCTTTTTATAAAGAACTGCAATTTCTTTATGTGTAAATTAAAAAAAAAAATTACACATCTAGGCAAACAATATAATCTTTTTTTCCATGCAACGTGATTATTTTCCTAAATGTTACACACAATCATTTCGCGTGCAAAGATTTAACGCATAAACTACTAAACAAGCCCTAAATGATACAGAGTAGTCGATGTAAAGGTTAGAATTTAATGCGTCAAACCCTCTTTTCTTTAGCCCGTTGTGATTTTAAAAATTTATCATAATCTATATGTTATAATTATTCATGTCACATAAAATTTTGAAGCAACAAATTTATGTTATAAGGGAAAATTGTCAATTTGGTCCTCACACTTTCATAAAAAAGTCAATTAGGTCATCGTACTTTTAAAACAATCAATCAAGTCCCCGAACATTGTAAAAACCTTCAATTGAGTTCATTTACAAGTTACTTGTCATGTCAGCTGATCACCCGCTGACGTGGTACACATGTGGCAGGCCAATCAGCAATAATTTTGCTGACGTGGCACAAATGCGGAAGCCCGATCAGTCATTTGTTGATGACGTGGCGCTCACGCGGACCACTATGTGTACGCCACGTCAGCGGGTGACCTGCTGACATGGCAAGTAACTTGCAAATGTACTCAATTGAATGTTTTTACAAAGTTCGGGGATTTGATTGATTATTTTAAAGGTACGGGGATCTAATTGACTTTTTGATGAAACTACGAGGACCAAATTGACAATTTTCCCTTGTTATAATGATTGAGCATTCAAGTAACTTCTCAAAATCTTAAATTATTCGGACTACAAAAATATTATTCACTTTTATTTTATTCGATAATTATTTTTGAGGTGTAATACACATGATTAATTATAACACAGAAATAATTTGATACATTTTTTAAGTCACAAGAGGTTGATGCACAAAACTTACTCACGCTAAAACTTAAATATAAGAATGTTTTTATTTCAATTTATTTTTGTTCAAACCCAACTACATTTATTTTAAACTGGCCAAATCAGATTTAAACAAATTAAATCGTACTTATAGACCTGACAAAAACAAGTCAATTCAAATGTAAATATCCTTATTCTTTTTTTTTTTTTTACTGAAATATCCTTATTCTGGATAAACATTTAAGTTGATACAGAGTATAATAGTAAAACTTAGAGATATTACCCAAAATGGGACTAAAAAAGTTTGAAAATTCCAAAAGAGGACTTCCATGTTTTTATTCCCAAAATAGGACTAATTACTGCCATGTTTTGGCAGTACCAGACTTCAAACATGGCAGTATTTTTCAAATTTGACAGTAATTAGTCCTATTTTGGGAATAAAAACATGACAGTCCTATTTTGGAATTTTTGAACTTTTTTAGTCCCATTTCGGGAACTTTCCCTAAAACTTATGTAATTAATAGTTCTAGACTCCGTTTGGTAACACTGAAATCGGCTGAATCAGCTGATTCTGCTTACATTTATGAAGTTTTGACTGAAATGACTATATTGGCTGATTCTGCTGATTTATGAAAAAATTAGGGAAAACTGTCAAATAGGTCCTCGAACTTTCATAAAAAGGTCAAATAAGTCCTTATATAGGAGGCTCTGTCTAACCGTCGAGATTTGGGATGATTTCCGGTGGAATTTTTTTAATGAAATTTTTTTAGCATCTTATTCATCAAGTCTAGTTTAGTCATACCAAATTTCAGCTAAAACTTCAATCGGAAAAGCATTCAAATTAATTCTTGAAGATAACTGCACAATTATCTTCAAGAATTAATTTGAATGTGTTCCCGATGGAAGTTTTAACTGAAATGTGGTATGAGTAAACTAGAATTTATGAATAAGATGCTCAAAAATTTTAATCAAAAAATTCCACCGGGAACCGCCCCAAATCGAGGCCGCCGGACAGAATTTCCTATATAAAGACTTATTTGACCTTTTTATGAAAGTTCGAGGACCTATTTGACAGTTTTCTCAAAAAAATATTTAAAATATATTTGGTAACTAAAATAAAGAAAAAGTTATATGAAAAAATCTAAAATTGTCATCTATAGTAATTTCAGCCAATACAGCCAGAAAAGTAACTTTAACCTTACTTTTTCTTATTGTTACGCAATTCAGCGCGTGAAATAAAAAATTACGAGCCCGTTTGGTGACCCCCTTTTTTCGGCTTATCAGGCTTATCAGCCAACTTTTTCACCAAACACGTAAATTTTAATTTCGCGTGTTGAATTGTGTAATCAGCAGAAAAAGTAAGGTTGACGTTACTTTTATGACTGTATTGACTGAAGTTACTGTAGAGAATCATTTTAGCTATTTTTGATATATATTTTTATTTTATTTAATAATATAAAATATTTTTAAATATAATTATTATAATGAATTTGCAGAATGAGTCACTTCAGCCAGAACTTCATAAATTTCAGCAGAATCAGCCAATTTAGTCAATTTTAATGTTACCAAACGAGCTCTACTTGTCTGATTTAAAAGTTGGCTCTAAAAATTTTAAAAGGGCTCTTAATTTACTGCACGTGCCATTAATGTGGGCAATAACAAAACCGGATATTTAAAATCATCGGTTCACACTTCACACTCAAATGGTCCTAAAGCCCCGTCCGTCCGTGTGAGGACTGTTGTCACAGCGTGCATCAGTCACTTGCCTGCCAGTTTACATTACATTATTTATCACGCCCAGGAGTTCCATATTGGTCGGTCACTCGTCTAATCAATAAGAAAAAAATCCATGGGTGCTCTTTTTGAAAAAAAATTATGAATAAAAATGTACGGAATGACTTAGACACTTAGAGCCCGTTTGGAGAACTCTGTTTTCGGCTTATCAGGCTTATCAGCCAGCTTTTTCACCAAACACGTAACTTTTACTTTCGCGCGCTGAATTGTGTAATAAGCCGAAAAAGTAAGGTTGGAGTTACTTTTCTGGCTGTATTGGCTGAAATTACTGTAGAGGACCATTTTAGCTATTTTTACATATAATTTTTTCTTTAATTTATTAATAAAATATATTTTTAAAATATTTTTTTCTTAAATCAGCAGAATCAGCCAAAGCAGCCACTCCAGCCAGAATATTATAAATTTCAGCAGAATCAGCCAAAACAGCCGATTTTGGTGCTACCAAACGGGCTCTTAGTTATGATAAAAAAAATTATTATTTAATGATTTTTTAATTTTTTTAATTTTGATTATTCATCTCTAAAATTTATTTATTTTTTCTTTAAAAGTTTCACCATTTATGTTCATTAATCACCTGATCCACCCGATTAACCTGGTCACAATGGACGTGTTAGATGTGGATGTAATTTTTAACAGATGATGGACATATAGGTAAAATATGAATAATTAATGGATGAACACGGATAAGTTTCCATCCGGTATAAAACCGTCTCGTTATCACCCCTAATCGGAGTGGGAATGGATAGAGAGAGAAAATAGAGGAGGAAAAATGTGAGAGTGAAAGAGTATTTGCCCGTGTTACTACAATTGGACCGAATTAGCTAGGCGATTCTATCTGAAAGCCAATGAATTGAAGCCAAATCCAACCTGGTAGCATACAAACCCGCTAATGTGCCAATGATTGGAAATACCCGATGACCCACGTAGACCAGAACCGGAACGTCTTAAACTCGTCGCATTTAATAAACTCGGTCAAAACGAATAACGGTGCTGCGGGGAAACGGTCATTGGCCCTCAATATGAAAAGGCTACCGGCCAAAGAAACCTACCGCATTGGCTAGTTGGAATTTATGATGTGCCGATACTTCCCTATGATGTCATATTCGCGTATCCATACATATTTGGTACTGATTCTCACCGATACACATCATGTACGTATTGAGTTTGTATCCGTAATTTAATAAAAGAACTAGACTCAATTATGAAATTATAGATACTTCCGTTAGACGTATCCATAGACGACGTATCTAAGAATGATTTAACATACAGGAATAGAGTTGTCGAGTACCTTGTCCAGTAACTAACCAACCACAACTTATCTTTCCTCATTCTTCATCTGCATCTCTTACTTCTACAACTCCTAGTCCAGTAGTCCTTATCCTTTCTCAATTGCATCTCTTACCAGGTAAAGTACTAATTACTAATTACTAAAACATCATCTTCTTCACACACACAGTTAAGTCTCAAATACTCTCAATTAATTCACTTCACTTGTAAATTAATTGCGTTTGAATTGTTTTTCATTATGTTTTTATAATTCTTGTGTCTCAAATATTTTCTTCGAGTGTGGTAATTTTTAACCGATTTAATTTCTTTAAGTTGTGAGAGTATTCTTTAACAAAGCACTTAAAAAATAGTCTCAAATAGGAGAAAATCAAGTGGAATTTTAAATTAAGAGCACTGTATTTTTATTTCCTAATTGAAAGTGCCCTTATTATCATGTTTGGAGAATACTCCGTATAACTATCTCCGTCTCATTTTATGTGTCTTATTTTGGTTTAACACAATTATTTTTGACAGTGGTTGAAAAAATAAAATTGTAGTTGAAATTTGAGTATAATAAAGTGAGATGCCTTAGATCACATGTTTGGTTTGAAAAGAGGAAATATGACACTTATTTTGATACAACCTAAAATTAAAATATTAAAACAGATAAAATGAGACGGAAGGTGTATCAAATATGGTGCTAATAAACTGTCATATTAAAGTTTGATAATGCCAAAATATTACACTAAGATTTAAGGATGACTGTAAATTACTCTTATTAAGACCATAAAAATATAATACTCCTGATTTGAGTTTTAACATTGGTTTTACATTTTTTTCCGGATTTTTTCCCTATATATAAATCATTTTGAATAAAAATATATTAATCCGTATTATCAAAGTTTAACACGTTGCACCCAAAAAATACGTACTCGTATTAATTAAGTTGAATATAATAGAATAAACTATGTCTATTTATCCTAATTGGACTACAACATACTCCGTAGCATTTTTTCAAAAATAGGATCTACTAGTTTAAAATGCAACAAATAGGACGTTATACTTGTCATAGACAAAAATACCCTCCTCATAGGGTTGATTGACTCCTGCCACTAGGTCACTGGACTGCCTCCCATCGGTCGCCAGATTTTCTACCAAGTTGCATCCACAAATCTGCTAAAATCTTGCCGTCGCAGAGCTGTCACCACCAACGGACTGATCTGTCACCAACAAAATTGCCTTGGTTTTGCTAGAAAACTAGTGAACTAATTAATTAGGTTAACTAATTAATTAATTTAATCAGAGGTAGAAATAGTTACTTCTGATTAGGGGAAACCAAACATATAATCCTATTTTTGGAAAAATGTTATCCTTTAGTCGTAGTTTGAGCAATGTCCTCAATAAACTAAGGATGTTTTTACTTGGACTATTTTCAGTCCCAAATCAGACCAGACCAGACTTAAATAGATCAAACTTGAACAGACCGGACCAGATCGGAATTGACTTCCATAGTTTAAAAATATACAAATAACAGACATTTACCAGACCAGATCAGATCAATTAAGACCATACCATACTTAAACAGATTAAACCAAACCAGAATAGCAATGAACTAACATATAACATAAAATATCTTAAGATTGACTTTTTAAAATGAAACACATAACAAATCTTAAAATGCATTCGAATGGGATAGTGCATTTGGAGTACATTTGATTGACAGGTGGTTTTCAATATTTTATCTCACATCCCTTATAGAGAGAGAGAGCTATTCCGGTCAGGAAATTCCTGACCGGAGCCCCGTCCGGCCTCCTCCATTTGGGGGCCTTTCCGGTGGTATTTTTTGCTCAAAGTTGTTTTGTATGTTCCTCATCAAGTCTAATTCATCCATACCAAATTTCAGCAAAAATTTCAATTGGGAAGGTTGTCAAATAATTTTTGCAAGTTAACTGGTCCGGAATATGTATTTTCCGGACCAATCAACTTGCAAAAACCATTTGACGACCTTCCCGATTGAAATTTTTGCAGCAATTTGGTATGGATGAACTAGACTTGATGAGGAACATACACAAAAAATTTGAGCAAAACATACTACCGGGAAGGCCCCCAAATGGAGGAGGCCGGACGGGGGTTCCTGTCCGGAAATTCCGGACAGGAATATTGGTGTGTATATATATATATATTATAAACCTTACATCATACTATATATGTATGTCATGGACTCCTCCTATTATTTATTGGGATACATTTGAAAAAACAAAGTATAATGTTTCACTAACATTACTATATTATGATCATAGGTTTGTGTCATTTGCACAACCATCAGCCCCCAATCTTGCATGGTAACTTCAAGACAGCTAATGTGTTGGTTGATGAGAACTTCATTGCCAAAGTTTCAGGCGTAGGGGTGTCAAGGCTACTCGAGACGATAGACGATGTAGGGCCTTCCCATTCGGTAAATCGGGCAAGCGTATTCAGAGATCCAGGGTAAACAACATCATCATATCTGCTCCACATTATATGTTATTATACCTCTAGAAATGTAGCTAATTACCTGTGTATGTTTTGTACATATGTTTTGTTCACTGACAGTGTGGATCAAAACACTTTGTTGGGTGAGGCAAGCGACGTTTATAGCTTCGGGGTGTTCCTTTGGGAATTAATAACTGGAAGAGAGGCTTCACATATAGGTGGCTTGGGATCAAATGAACGTTTGCTTCAGTGGGTAACACAATTTGATTTTTCATTGATAACTACTTCAATTTTTACTAATACATACGTAGTATAATTTCATTAAAGACTTTAAATAGGGATGTCTATGGTCTATCCAATGGTATAAGAAGCTGTTCTCTTCGCCTGATCTGAATGTTTCTGATCTGAATTTTTTAAGTTCTGATCTGATCTGATCTGAATTTTTCTGATCTGATCTGATCTGATCTGAATCTTTCTGATCTGATCTGATCTGATCTGAATCTTTCTGATCTGATCTGATCTGATCTGAATCTTTCTGATCTGATCTGAATGTTTCTGATCTGGTCTGATCTGATCTGAATGTTTCTGATCTGATCTGAATCCTTCTGATCTGATCTGAATCTTTCTGATCTGATCTGATTTGAATATTTCTATAATTATAATTATAATTATAATTATTATAATTGCAATTACAAATATAATTTAAATAAAATTATAATTATAATCGTAACTATAAAAATAATAATAATAATAATAATAATTAAAATTAAATTTAAAATGAAAAAATTTATACTTATTACACTAATTATAAATATAGATATAATTATAATTGTAATTATATTTTTAATTATAATTGTAATTATAATTACAATATTTATCTATATAATTGTAACTATAGTTATCAATATTATTATAATTACTCCGTAAAATAATTACAATAGTAATAATAATAATAATAATTATAATCATAAATTATAATTATAAGTATAATTATAATTATTATAATTATAATTAATTATAATTATAATTATATTAACATTAATTATAATATTATAATATAATAAGTATTATATTATTATAATATTATATTATAATTATAATCATAATCATAATTATAATTATGATTGTAATTATAATTATAATTATTATAATTATAATTAATTACAATTATAATTATAAATATTTATAGATATAATTATAATAAATACAATTGATTATACTTATAATTATAAGAATTATAATTGTAATTATAATTATAATTACATATAATTATAATATAATATTATATTAACATTAATCATATTATTATTATTATTATTATTATTATTATTATATTGTAATAATAATAATAATAATAATAATAATAATAATAATGATAATGATAATGATAATGATAATGATGATGATGATGATGATGATGATGTTGTTGATGATGATGATAATAATAATAATAATAATAATAGTCTTCTTAATAATTACATTTATATTACTATTATTATATTAAAATATTATAACTATTATTAATATCTTATTTTTGTTATCATATTATTATTAATATTATTAATAATAATTATATAATAATAATCATAATTGTAATAACAATAATAATAATAATAATAATAATTAATATAATAATAAAAGTGATAAATCATGTTTGAACTTTTCTGATCTGATCTGAATGTTTCTGATCTGATCTGAATGTTTCTGATCTGGTCTGATCTGATCTGAATCTTTCTGATCTGATCTGAATCTTTCTGATCTGATCTGATCTGATCTGAATCTTTCTGATCTGATCTGATCTGATCTGAATTTTTCTGATCTGATCTGATCTGATCTGAATTTTTCTGATCTGATCTGATCTGATCTGAATAAAATAAGAATAAGCAATAAGTAATAAGAATAAGACGAACAGAACAGCACCTAAACCGTTATTTAACAAAATAAATAAATATGAAGGATGGGGTCAGTACATGGAATAAAAAATGCATTTGATACAATTTTCACAAATCCTATTATAGCTTAGGGCCTCACTTAAAGAATCTTCTCATTATCTCCAAAATAAAATTTGTATCCATGTAAAGTCAGAGTGTGTAAGTTGTAAATTAATTTAAAACGGTTGAACAAGATCACATAAGCTCTCATCTTTTTTGTTTCAAATCAAAGGTAGAAACACATTTGAACGAGAATGATTTGGTGGATCGACGGTTGTCAAGGAGTTTCACCATGGAGGGAATGGGGGATTTCATCAAACTAGCCATGAGATGCACAAGTTTTCCAAGTAAACAAAGACCTGCAATGGAAGTGGTGGTTGTGGAACTAGACAAAATTCTTGACAAGGAGATCATGCATACAACATTCATGGGAGAGGGCACTACCACTGTTACTCTAGGCAGTCAACTATTTACAAATTAATTAACAGCATAGTAGTATTTATATGTATATGATTTCAAGACTTAACACAAAAACTATCTGACATAGGAGCTAAATTGATCTCAATTAATGTCAGCACTCCAATTTGTATGTATTAGTTTTCATTTATTAAAGAAATGTATATCTTCATCACGCTGGCTCAATATCGACCTAAGAACCCACACATGTTTTCAAGTGTTCTTGATGGAACTCATTAACACATGAAAAATGTCTATACATTTATAACCATAAAGCATTGAGGTCTAACAAAACATGTTCCCATTGTTATCATATTAACAATCTACATTTATATCATGTTGTATTTTGTTGCAATGCAAGCATTTTGTATCTCGTTGGAAAGATCTTATCGTATTCTAAAACCCGTATTCAAGCTTGGTTTTCAAAGTATTTACGCTAAATATGCTTTATTTACTCTGAAAACGCTATATTGCAAAAAATGAGCTATGTAATTGATTTGGTCATATCTTGTTGTATGTTCCTCGTATAATACGCTATAATACTCTGAAAATGCTATATTACGAAACGAACCGAATTTTGGATCCAAGGGTGTATTTATACTAAATATGCTATATCTACTCTGAAAGTATTACTCCGTATAATATAGAAAACATTATAAGTATTTGATTCAATCATATCTTGTTGTATGTTCTTCCATTTCAAACGTTTTATATCTCGATGGAAAGATCATTTTGAGTTCTAAAAGTAGTATTCCGACTTCATTTACAATGTATTAAACAATATGTACAGATTAACCTAAAATTCATAATCTTAATCATAATCATAATCATGATGATGAATTAAATCACATTTTATAACCCATATTTTTATTTTATCAACCTTAGCGGCCAATTTTTTACCAAACATGTATTTGAATCCACGCGTTGAAATGTGCAATAATCAATATAAGTAAGGTTAGAGAAACTTTTCTTAATTTATTGAAGTTGTTGAAATCTTATACGTTCGTACTTCATATAGAATTTGATATGAAGTAGTAAAAAGAAACAATACATCATTTTTTATTGTGCTTTTTGTGCATTTAAATATTAAATATATTGGGGGAACTAAAAGTTAGGCTCAATCTTGTATAATATATTTTGGATAATTATTTATTTTCTTTATATATTACTCTAAAATAGTAATTATCAATAAAAATCTAGAACGCATTTTCACGTTTATGTTTCGCCTATTCCCGCCTAGGCTTCAAAGGCTTGATTCTTGGTCTCAAAACCTTGTCACGCCTCACGCCTTTTAGAACAATAGCTATAATAGAATTTGACACAGCATTTAAGAGAAAATAGTAGGGTAATGAATAGTGTAGAAAAAAAGTAGGAGGGAATATTGGAAAGTACGTAGTATGTAACTATGTAAGACGATATGAAAAGTAAAAAATTAATGGTAATTGGATAGTTTTAAAGTGGAAATTTATTGAAAAGAGAAAGTGTAACAAATAGAAAACTTTTCAAATGAAAAGTGTAGCAAATAAAAGATCGTGAATGGAGTATTAGAATATCATTTAATAACCAAAGCTACTCAGGCATATACTACCAGTTATAAATAAATAACAAACAAAAGAAAATATGAAAATCAATATCCTTATTTCCAAATGGACCCAGGGCTGGTCCTGGGGCATGGGCAGGAGGGGCATGCGCCTAGGGCCCTTTGCTCCAGTAGGGCCCATAAAATTTTAAAATATGTGTGTTTGTATGTACATAAATATTTTAAATATATATAAATTATATTTTATAAAAAATAAAAAATAAATCAAATTTATATTTTTAGATACTTCTAAATTGTTATTTACCATGTACACGATACAAGTCTATAATTTTGAAACATCCACATTAGAATTCATTGGGAACATATTTCACCATTTCTTTTGAATCATTAAGGATTATTACATTAATTTTAATCTTTTAGTGTACATGTCTTATGTATATCCGTTGATATATTTCACAAATTTCTTCCGATTCTCTCATTTAGTGAAAGATTGAACTTTAGTGTCCATAATTTAGAAACTTAGAATTTGTTTTTGTCTAGTGAAAGTGTGATTTAAAATATGAAAAAGTTACTCATACAAGATATAACTTTCACAAATTCCCTTGATTCGAAATTTTTATTGCGCCTTATAGTTGCACTACTTGTTTCACTCGGTTGTTAGGTACATTGTATCCTCGAATGTCACTTATCAATACGCTCTTTATATATTTTCTAACCATATGCTTTGTTAGTTTTTTTATGTGTTATACTGGTATTTTGACGGTAAAATTGTATAATTTTAAATTATAGCTTTTCGTGCGCTATCCCTAAGGCCCAGTCTATTTGTATTGTTCCGGGCCCATAAAATGTCAGGGCCGGGCCTGAATGGACCAAATATATATGGTTTTTCGTTTTAGAAAAGAAACACTGAAGTTGCAACTTTCATGAATGCATGAGCAGGGTTGAATGGCATATTATTAAACGGGATTTCCTTTGTATAAAATTAGTTATTACGAGTATTATAAAAGAATTAACAATTCAACTTTATATGACGATATGTACGCAATTTTTTCTGATTTGTCACATATTTTATGGAGAAATAGCCATGACTATTGATTACCTGCGAATAACAATAAAAAGGACAAAATCCTAAGGGTGTGTTTGAGAGTTGGATTTTGAAGGGGAGGGGCAGGTTGATGGGGGTTTATGACCCTCCATCTCATGTTTGGGAGTATAATTGGAGGGATGATTTCGGAAAGCTTTTGTGACCCACGAAAACCTTCTAAATACTCAATCTTTTAGTTTCCCCAATTTGGAGGGTTTTGAACGATAATTAACGAAATCGTATTTTAAGCTCAATTAAAAATAAATATCAGTTCAAATTATTTGAATTCGTCATATCTCAAAGTGATTTTTATTAATTCATTCAAAAACTTCCTCCTTCCAAATTTATTACTCCCAAATATAAAGAAGGCCTTCCTCACCCTCCCCTCCATTTCTCTCCAACAACTGAACAACATACCTCCAAGCCTTCTTCTCTCTTTCCCTCCAAACTCCCAAGCATACCCTAAGTAAATTTTTCTTTGAGACGTTTGACGATGAAATGGCAGTCAAAATGTAATATTCCCTCCGTATTAAACTAAGTGTCTTAGTGAGCTTTTCACGTAGTTTAAAATAATTTATAGGTTTACCGTACACTTTTTGGAAAAGCAAGAGATTTTTGTTATTGTAGCAATGTTGTTTACTATATTAAGTGTACCGTAATTGCTTTTGAGGTGGATTTATTTTCTAAAATGAAAGTGAGACACTTATTTTGATACCACCAGAAAAGAAATGTGAGACACTTATTGCAAATAAAGTATACAGACTATTACAGAGAAGTGTTATTTTGTCTTTAGAGCATTAAAATTTTTACGGCTCTCACTTTTTACTTGAGACTTGGAACTTCGGAGCATCACATTTTATACCTCTCTCACCCTTTCCAGTTCTAAACATGTTTTGATTTTTAAGTCGCTGAACCATGTACCATCCAAACAAATGAACAAAAAAAGCATAACTTTTTATACAAAGTTACAATATAAAATGTGTATATGATTGTAACATATCAAGTCTGAACAATTCATATATCCACAAGTATCATGAACACAACATAATTTGCAAGCATAAAAAGCTTGTCTTGCAATGACAATCATCTGTTTTTCACTCTGCAGAAAGATTTGGCAAGCCAATTTGAAATTCATATCTAATTGGTCAAGTTGGATGATCCTTCCCAATTCCTCATGAATAAGATGAAATGAGTAGAGACTGTCAACATTAGAGGGGAACTAGCACAGTACTTTCCAGGTTTAAGCAATTACAACAAAAATCAACAAACACCAGCTCCAGATATCGGATATTAGAGCAGATTCTACTACATGGACTATATTGGGAGTTTTCCCCCAGATAATTTTTATGGATAGACGGATTTGGCTTATTGAAAGTGGGATTTGGTTGGGGTAATAATAATGGTGTTATGAACACGGATGAAAATAGGTACGGTATACAGTTGTGCTAGTAGGCTTCCTAAGGCTGAGTGGTGTGAGATTCAAGATGACCAACACAAGGAACGTCCTAGGAAATGACTAGCACCAAAAATAATTATCCTCATTGATCATCAGCCAAAACAAAACAAAAAATAAAACTGATTACTCAACTTTTGCCTCCTCACCTCCATGCCCCATACTACTACTGTTCCCAGTTGCAGATGAAGTAGGCTGTTGAATGTCAGTCACTGAGAATGTTGAGCCGATCGGGCCACTAGAAGTGCTTATTGATGATATCTGGGTAGAAACAGCATCCTTGTTGGACCGAGAAACCAGGTTAGGCCTTAAGTCAGAGGATGTTGGGCCCAAATTACTGATGTAAGATCCAACGGGGAAGGGGGCAACAGGTATATCAGCAAGAGATGATGCAGATGGACTGTAAGTCATTGTTCCCATTGGATGGTCAAACCTACAAGTAGGCCCATATTTGCATACCCCATTTTGTGAATAGTGTAGGCACATTGGTGCATCCTACAAAGCAACCAAGAGTTGCAACAAAAATGGCATCAATAATCAGATGTAAGAGTATGATCTTAATGCCAAGCAGTTCAAAGTCCAAATACGTGTAGCTCAAGAAACTTGGATTTCGGAGGGCATATGTAATATGGTTCTAAACACAGTGTATAGCACAAAGTGCATTACTATAGGCATTTTGGGTTGGTTTGACAAAACCAAACCGAACTAAACTGAATAAAAAAATAACCATATGCAATTTGGTTTTAGTTTGGTAATACTTTCCAACAAGTATTTATAATTAATCTGAACCTAAAATAAAACAAAATCGAATGAAAAATGCAACAAAACCTTGGCATATATATTAAAAGTCAAACTGAAACAATCTGAACCCCAACTATATGCAATTCGGAGTTTGTTTAGTTTTTAAATGGTTTTAAACCGAAAAACAAAAAACGAAATCCAAATGGCCACCCCTTCTCATGCAGCCCTATTACAACGTAAAGCTTCAATTTCAAGGTATGATGATTCAAAGTGGTATAGATAAAGAAAGTACAGAAAGTAAGAGTAAACCATGGAAAATATGCTGCCAATCCTTGTTTTGACCTAAAAATAGGAGTTGTTAATAGTTCTTTGAGGAGTAAATGAGTCCCATTTTCAAGAGAGCAAAAACACTGATAGCTCCATTTTAATAAATGTGGGGTATGTTACTATGTTCAAGTCCTATTTGTGTAATTTCTTCGTACCACCAGCCCCTAAGCAGTACCTTTTATTAGATTAGACAACAGACTGCTTATGAGGAATTCCTTACCGGACGTAGGGGAAGACCGATGGGGCTAAGGACAAAATTTGTTTTTGATCCACTCCAGCCTGGTGGGTGATGGTATCTACAAGACGATCCAAACTTACAATCCCCAGTCTTCATGTAATGCTGGCATTCTGGTTCACCGGCTCTTTCAGGAAAGCTATGTTCTCTCGGACTGAGCTGTGAAGGACCAGCATACATATATGCTCCTGAATAAGCAGGTGCTGATGGAGATACCTGTGTTAAGCCATAAATCTGTCCAATTCCAGCAGTTGACTGGTTACTTGGAGATGCTACTGGACTAGCGGGTGCCTGTAGTGCGCAATATTTGGATGACATACACATAGGTAAGTTCAAATTAATTTCCAGGTCGGGAAAAACAAAAAACAGTTGTCAGAAATAGAAAAAATTACTGTTACTCCTTATTCATTAGATCATAATTACTATTCCAACCTTGTGTTTTCAAAAGTCAATTACCGTCAACTTCGGTGATTCTTGTCACTTCCCTGTTCCTACAATATTTATTTCATGTGATTCAATTTGACCCTAAAGTTTAATAGAATTTATCTAAAATAACTGCTTTTTAAAGTCAATATAGTCCAATAGTCCATAATTGTTGCTCGTTATTCCTCCATCTCCTCTACTCTCAAAGGTATTTCTTTTGAGTGTAGTAGAGATGGAGGAGTAAGGAGTAGTCATTATGACTTATGATGATGAACGAGAAGTGTTTCTAAACACTTCTAAAAGATGATATTTCAAATTAATTTTTGATAGATTTGACACTCAAATCGAGTCAAATGAAATAAATATTGACTGAAGGGGAAGTTGCAAAAGTGATCAAAGCTAAATGGTGTAACAAATTAACTTTTGAAAAGTACAAGGTTGGACTAGTAAGTATGACCTCCTCAATAAATTTTCCTAAAAAATATCTCTACCGGATAAGTAGTCCAACCCCCTGGAACTGGAACAACCCCAGAAGGAAACAGCATAGGACTATAAGCTCCAGGCATATAAGCACCCGGAAGAAGGGCAGGCCTTGCAATTGACCAGTTACCAGCCATTACACCAAACTGTTGAGATGATTGATGAGCAGAGGAGAGAGGCTGGACTGCACCTGGCAAAGGTCCTTGTGCTGCAATAGTGGGCTGTGGATGATGAAATCTACAGGTCACGCCAAATTTGCATTGCCCGGTTCTTATATAGTATGCACATTCCGTTTCACCCTGTCACAAGAATCCTATTAGTGTGGATTTCATACATGCACAAAAATGTTAACATCCAAACCTTAATAAATTTTCCAAAAAAGAAGTGAAAAGTATGGAAGTTCGGACCGGTCGTGAAGGGTATCCATAAACATTTATCGTCACCGGGGCTGATACATTTCCTTGTCTCGGGTGGTGGTACTTGCAAGAAGGGCCAAACTTGCACATTCCAGTCTTCATGTAGAACTATAAAAGACAATGTAGAATTTGAAAAACACAAATAAGGGTTGAATGCCTTCATCAATAGGAATACAACTTTGATATTACAAGTGGAACATTCCGTTACCAAGAACAAGATAATGCTGAATACAAATAATCTATCTCACATAACTAGGAATTGAAATATTATTAAACTGAACACTCATTCAGTTTTTACAAAGCATTGCAGGAATCTGCGATAAAACTTTACAGCTCTTACATTAGTTACATATTATAAATCCTGAACACCGATTATTGTAATTAATGTAAAGCAATTCCACACCAACTGAAAGATCAAACAAAAGTGGTGTTATGCACAAAAAATCAATTTAGAAAAACAATAATTTCAATGAATGACTAGAGAATTAAAATAATAGCCTAATCATCAGAAATGGTAACTTTATAGCAAGAATGGCCAGTTTACATCTATTAAACCAAATAAAGTAAACCAATTAAAAAGAGATACTACGTTCAACAGGCCTGACTGCTGTCAATATGTCATGAATCTCATATAATTAAAGTACATAAAAAAACTGTTCTATGCTGCGTAGGCCTCTCTGAATGCAAGATGCTCATGAAGAAGACAGCAAAGAAAATTTTGAAGGACATAAAAGCAGAGGAATCACAACAATGCAGTGCTGCTGTGTGACTACCACAATTGTGTCATAAGGTGTATCGATTTTCAATTCAATATACATGAACGAAGTAGTTTCAAGAAACCATCAGTGAGGAGAAATGGTTTCATATAGCTCAGTTTTAGTAGAAATGTATTTATGGATGGTTAAATGCAGATTTAATCACATAGATCTAAATTTTAGATTCTTGAATGCTGATTCTAAACAACCTACGACAAGTAACATATAACTTCATGGATACCACAAAAGTACAAACTAGAAACACATCACAATATTAAATGCTGGTATCTATTATAGAGGTTTCATAGTTTACAGAATGGAAATCATCTCCATCTTTTAAGAAAAGGACTCCAAAATCTGTTAAAAGCAATGTTAGAAGTCAAGAACATATATGATACTGGATTAAGGTTGATGAATGTAATTGCAATCAATTCCAGACCCGTCTAATAAATTCACCAAAATAAGAAAAAGAACAAATCAATGTTCACACTTTAACTAACTCATAAAAAAGCTGAGTTTGTTTATCATGTAACAACCGTGGCATACCCAGCGCAATAATTCATATCCAATAATGAATCTCCAGACATTTTATTAACAATTTCAGTCCAAAAACACAATGCTAATCCAAAGTTAGCACATTTGAGGCCCCTCAGAAAGCATTCAAAAGTGGCATGCAAACTTCCATTTGAACTGCTCAATTAATAAAGAGCAGACACTAAAGGTGTCAATGGCCTAGGAATAAAAAGCTTCCATTTGCATATCATTAAATAAAGGGAAAATATTAGTTATGAAAAGCGCCTCTAAACCAAGCACAGCATGAAAAAGAGAAGGTCATCAAAGAAGAAAAAGCTGGGGATTCCCAATTCACTTCTCCACAGAATAGAAAAAGATAATTGGTGAAAAACGCAGCACAAAGTCAAATCTACTTTATAACACCGCAAGCCGCCCACACCATTATAAAACCCATAAATATCCAGAACCTGCAGATTCTCTACTGTTTGATAGTAATTGATTGAACGCAGATTAATAAAAAAAAAAAAAAAACAGCCCAAATCAGAAACCGAGCAAATTTACCTGACAAAGTGGCTGATCCACTCTCTCTGGATACTCCCCTCCACTAGCTCTCGTAGATCGAGCAGCCTAAATCGGTGAAATGATCAACTTCAGTCAATGCATGGAAAAATTTCCTAATATAATCCATAATTCAAGACCTTGCCGATTATAAAATGAAAGCTGAACAGTGATTAGCATCAAACCGACACACAACCCCAGTACCAACCCAAAGTAATGACCAAGATCAACACAATTACCCCCTCGAAAAGCATGATCGCCCCAGTTACGCGACAAAACACAGAAAACAACCCCAAACCCAACCCCACCCAAAAAAGTTGAAGGCTTGGGTGAGAAGAATCCTGACCAAACTCCGGTCCCGCGGATGATTGAACCGACACCGAGCACCATAGCCGCAGGAGCCAGTCCGCAAGTAATAGAGACAATCGGCTTCGTGAGGCCGCTCTGGGTACGATTGGACCCCACCACTGATGGACAACTCCCACAGAGGCTCTGCATTCAATAACAGTCAAAAACCGCTCAGACCCAACCTGCATTAACCCAAATTCCGGCTAAATCGACACGAAATTGGAACGCAACTGACCTTCCAGCCCCGTCTCGCCGGCCGAAACCGCCGCCGCCGGCTCCCCCATTGTCTGGGTCCCACTGTGCACCTCCATTTCAGAGAAAATACACAACAAGATGCGACCTTTTCACACTAAGAATGCATAATCGAGAGATGGAAGCTGTTTTTGTATCTTTCTTTATCGAATGGAAACAAGGAAACAAACTGAGAGAAGATGGAATGGGTGATCAGTTTGGTGGTTTTAGAGAGAGAGTGCGGAAAGGGGGTTTCTTAGTGGGTTTGCGTTTTTCCCTCGGTATCCCACACCACACGCACAGTGTGAATTCTTTCGCTCTCTTTGGCAGACAAGAGAGAGAGAGGAGAGAGAAAATGGGGTCGGGTGTTTATGAGCGGAGAGAGATATTGGGAGCGAGAAGCTGCTTCAGGTCAAATATGGTTCTTCCTTGTTTCATTTTACGTTACTTTCTGCACGCGCCCTATGCGCGCGTGTCAACTACTTTATGCCTTGTATCGGACCGGGACGGTGAAATGAGAAGAGTCTTAACGGTCAACGGCTTGACCCATGATCGGACCAAATCCATCTCTTTGAATATTGTGTAATAAATATGATTAAATTAATTATAAGAAGATTTCAACACTAAATTAAATTAAATATGACTAATCACTGTACAACCTTTTTCAGTTGTTTTTGCTTTAAATAGATACTCACAGCGCATCTTTTTGTTCAAATGTAGAGGAATATATAAAGCTAATATTCATGTCAATTGTTGGGAAAAAACTGACCAACTTCGATTATCATAAAAGTTGAGTTTTCATTTTTTAAGCTTCAACTTAATTCTTTCTAAAAAAAACTTCCACTTAATACGTACGTAGTAGTATTTATTATTGAAGAATGAGAAACGCTTTAAACAGACTCCTATTATATATTTATATTCAATGTATCGTTTGAATCCTTATATTTAGAACATATTATATATATTTGTTTACCTTAAAAAATTGATTAATTCAGTCATTTAACTAGTTTGACTTGTTATAATAGATTTTTTGGAAAGAAAAACTCATAATTTTTTTTAATTTAGGAAAAAAAAATGAAAACCCTTTGTAAAAATTTAAGTATGTAAAATATATATAGGAAAAATTGAAAACAATAATCCCAACTATTGCTGGTCCGCTGAAAATAATCTCAACTATTGATTATTTTTGTATAACCCCAACTATATAGACTATCCGCCAATAATGGTTCATGACCATATATTACCTCTATAAAAAGTGAATTTTAAATAGAAATTAAGCGTAAAAATTAAAAGTTGAGATTATTTATAGGGATTACTTGTTATATCTCATCTCATCCACTTTAGAAACTACAAGAATTTATTCATAGGGACCATTATTGGCGGAAGGTCCCTAAAGTTGGGATTATTCTGTAATAATCAATAGTTGGGATTATTATGAGCGGACCGCCAATAGTTGGGATTATTAATATCAATTTTTCCTATATATTTTCTGTATTTTACTTTCACGTTTCTTAAATTATACTACTGTTGAGGTTTATTCCTTCAACCCTCGGGTCCAACACGTAAGCCCAAGGATTTCGAGTGGAGTGTGTATAAATATCTAGCCCAACTAACAAGTGAGATGGATTAAGAAACAATAAGTAGCAAGTAAGTGATTAGGTATTATTATCTGTTAATAACTCCCTAATACAATACTTTCGCTAAGGCTCGTTGGTCGTTCGTCTTACAAGGCAGTAGAGGTGTTGCGAGTAAGAATGCTATAGCTAGAGTGCTAAGAATAGAAATTTGCTAACCCCTTACAATGAAATAAATGCTTCTATTTATACCACCAATGGGCAGTTGGCCACGCTGACGTGGAGGACTGTGGATGGCTGGTGTCTCAACCACCAAATCTTCAGCATTAAATGCACTTCCCGCCAGAATCTAGGTTTCCCGCCTAATTAGTGGCGATGTCGTCCAACTGGGGAGGTGAGTTGCTCCTGGTGGTTTTGCAAAGGGTATTGGGCCGTTCGTCCCCTGGCCCTTCGGGGATTTCGCCATGTGGATTGGATTGCCTCCAGCGGCTATGGGCTTGCTCTGACGACGTTCGTCGTCATTCTGGTGGCCTGTGGGCCTGCTCCTTGTTAACTGCGTAGACGCTCGTCGGGTTGGGCCGTTCTGAGTTGCCTGTCAGGTCAGCCTAGTGTCCTATCCGGACGTACGTCCGGGTGAAGGGGTAAATGGGCCGAACCTCAATTTGGGCCATTAACCCAACAACTACGTATATCAATTAAGAAATAATTACATAAATATGACCAAAATAGAGATGATTTACAAAAATATGATTAGTTACTAGAGTAGTAATGAAATCATAGTAATTCATGTTCAAGTTTTGAACCTAAGTTACCACAACACTACGTTGTAGTAATGAATAGTCATATTTATGTAAGTAAGTTTTATTTTAGTAATATTCTTGTAAAAAAACCATCAATTTTTTACATTTGACAATTTTTTATATTCTTATTCCTTTTTTGTTAAGTTTTTGAGTTTTTACTTTTAAAATACTCAATTACCTAAGACTTTTTCTACTCCGGAGTATTTTTTATATTCTTTTTCATTAAATTAAATATGACTAATGACTATCCGACCTTTTTTCAGTTGTTTTTGCTTTGCTTTGAATAGATACTCACAGCGCAACTTTTTGTCCAAATGTAGAAGAACAAAGCTAATTTTCATGTCAATTATTGTTGGGAAAAAACTGACCAGCTTCGACTATTATAACAGTTGAGCTCTCATTTTTGAAACTTGAACTTAATACGTACTCGTAGTATTTATTACTGGAGAATGAGAAAAGCTTTAAATAGACTCCTTTCATTCAATCTATCGTTTGGATCCTAATATTTAGAACTTACTCCGGTTTTATTTAATTTTCACACTTTGACTTCACACAAAATAAGGAAAGAAATTTGACATTATTGTAGAGTACACTGTTGAGGCACTGCTTGACACTGTTTGGCACTGTAGAGACACTGTGTGGCACTGTTGAGACACTGTTTGACACTGTTTTGATGTAGATTTCTTTGCCAAAAAAGGAAATAAGGAAGTGTGAAGTTTATTTTAGACCGTCCCAAAAAGGAAAGTGTGAAGTTTATTAAAAACCGGGGGGAGTATTATATAAATTTGTTTATCTTTAAAAAAATGGGTTTTGACTTGTTATGCTACCTCTGTCCCATTTTTACATTTTATGTGCTTCATTTGGTTTTGACACAATTTTTAATAAAATGGTTGAAAAAAATAAAAGTTGTAGTTGAGATTTGAGTATAATATAGTGAAATGTTGTAAATCACACTTTTTTTCCAAAAAAAGAACTGTGACACCTATTTTGGGACAAGTCAAAAAAGAAAATAAGACAGGTAAAATGGAACAGAGGGAATAATAGATTTTTTGGAAAAAACTAATAATTTTTTAAAATTTAGGAAAAATTCAAAACCGTTTGTAAGAAATTAAGAATGAAAAATATATATATATATATATATTCTGTGATTTTACTTTCACGTTTCTTAAATTATATACTACGTATCATTTTTTTACATTTAACTTTTTTATATTTTTATTTCTTTGTTTTGTTAAGTTTTTGAGTTTTTAGTTTTAAAATACTCAATTACATATGAAATTTTCTTTTTTTTAATATTATTTTTCATATTTTTTTTACTCTCTCCCAATTTTTATACTATTCATTATTCTCTACTATTTTTCTCTAAACATTGCCTAAAACCCGGTTGTAGCAAACATTTCAATACGGAGGAGGGAGTAGGATTTAAAAAAAATGAATTCCCTTAATTGATTTTCAAAAACAGCACCTGCTATAGCAGGTTAAGATGATTGGTTTGATTGCATTTACAAAGTAATCGTACTTAGATAATACGAAGTATTTTTTTTAGTATAGAATCTCAAGTGATATATTTGAAATAGTAAAAAGGTATATTCGAACATTTTCTCTTGAAGAATTGCATTCTAGTTTTTGGATAAACACAAAAAAAGTATGAAACATATTTTAAAGGAAAAATTGATAGTAATAATCCCAACTATTGGCGGTCCGCTCATAATAATCTCAACTATTGATTATTACAGAATAATCCCAACTTTAGGGACCTTCCGCCAATAATGGTCCCTATGAATAAATTCTTGTAGTTTCTAAAGTGGATGGGGTGAGATATAACAAGTAATCCTTCTAAATAATCTCAACTTTTAATTTTTACGCTTAATTTCTATTTAAAATTCACTTTTTATAGAGGTAATATATGGTCATGGACCATTATTGGCGGATACGCCGGATAGTCTATATAGTTGGGATTATACAAAAATAATCAATAGTTGAGATTATTTTCAGTGGACTGGCAATAGTTGGGATTATTATTTTCAATTTTTCCTATTTTAAATTAAATTAAAGAAGTGTGAGTAATAATTTATTTAAGTATACCCTATTATTATAGCTAAAAAGCTACTTTGCTAAGCATGTATTCTTATGCCAAACATGATTGATTTTTAGAGTTGTTTAGAGAAATGTCTGATATCACTTCCAATATTTTTCAAACTTTATAAGATTGACATGTTAAATTAATAATATATGATGATGATATCATCTTCGATTTCGGTCTATCCGCCAGTCCTGATTCGCTTATGATTTTTTATTTATTTTTAACACTCCAAGACAGGGACTTTGTTCACCCCTAGCCCAGGAGCTCAGGTATGAAAATAGTAACACTTCATTTATGAATTTTAAAATCTAAATTCTAAACAACCAAAAGCGGGATATGGAGTAGGTACAATTACTTGTGTAAAATTAATGAAGAAAAAATACTCAATACTTACTCCATATTAATAACAAAAACTGTCATTGATGTAATTAGTGCTGATACATCGGTACGTGGGGTATAATTATTTTCCACACCTCGAACTCTCGTATTTAATTAGTGCGATGCGCGATTAGATAAATGCCCAATGTTATATACGTGAAATACACCTTTGTAGGACTTTATCAAATTTGATATAGGGTTGAAAAAATCAAGAGAGTGTTTGGTAAGATTAAAAAGCATAACTTGTGCAAAGCCGCTTACATCAAGAGAGTGTTTGATAGTTTTCTTTTTGAACAAAATATTTCTAAGAAAATGTAAAACCATCCTACTTTAGAACGAGCCTATCTTATTTTTAAGGAACAAAAAACACTACTTTTAATACGGAGTAGTTTTTTTTTGTCAGAATAAAGTCCTATTACAAACAAAAGATGAAACTACATTCCAAGCAATCAGTACTATGAGTCACTTCAAAATTAAAAAAAAAAAAGATAAGTTAGCCTGATTTCGATATGGCTTACATTTCTCATATTAACCTGATTTTAATATGGCCTGAGT